TGTTTGCAAATTTCGCTCTCGTGTCCACCGAAGATAATGTTTCCCATTTGATTCTCCGGTTGCTTCTGCCGCCAGATCTTCGTGTGGTACTCCATTTCTTATAGCGCAGCGTGCCACCAACAAGGTAGTGATCGGTTGATAGCTCTGCGCCTCTTTTAACGTGAACATATATTACTGAGCGTCTTACGTTAGATGATACGATTATCAAATCGATCATCGACTTCTGTGCACAAGCTTTCCGGTTCCCATGCTAGAAGAAGGTTTTCATAATGGACTGTCCGTTGTTTGCACAAAACCGCAACAAGTTTATGCCGTTATTGTTGAGGTCGCTAGGGCCGTTTTTTCCAATGACGCCGTTCCACTTTTCAGCGTCTACTTTGACATGCGGTTAAAATCGCCCATGAGTATGAGGAAGTGCATCACCTGCACTTCATACAGAGCACATTTTACTTCTTCAAGGAAGGATTCATGTTTTTACTCCAAATTGGGCGCATGGACATGTTAGGTTGATGCCTTCGCCTATAGTTTCAATCGGGGGATTTCCACTCTTCCGCTAACAGGCTTCCATTGTATGATTCTGTCAGCCAGGTTTGGTACTACCATGACTAGAACACCGGCGTAAGCGCGCGTTGTGATGTCGATCGGTACCTTAGTAGAATAAATTCCATCGTAAGAGATTCAGGATTCTCTAGCCTTAGCGCTTCGTTAAGTCGAGTTATATCGAACCGTTACCCTGCGGCCTCGTCAACTAACTCTTGCTCTTTCCGTCTGAATGTGGTTATGTTCCAATTTCCGACTGTCAGCTCCCAATGTCGTTGCCGTTTTCGAGGAACATTATCTGACGTGTTAAATTGGCACTGTGATGTTCTCCTTCATATAATAACGGGTATCGGCACTGTTGCTGACTATTATCGTCGTCTACTTATCGACCTTCGGCAGCCCACGCCATGCTGCTGCTCCCTCAGCTGCCGGAGGTTGTGAAAGAGTTTCTGATCGCCTACTTTCTGCAGCCTGCTTCAGTTCTCCAACAGCCTATGCAACCTTTAATAACCCGGACAACGAATGAGCCCATATAATGTTCGATGACGGCAGTACCATGAGAAGCAAGTACTCTCCGGTCTTATATTTACCGGAGGCTGACTATGTTCCCCGACTTTCCTCGAATTTAATGCGAGCTTTGCATATCCGAAACGGAGTTAGGTGCGACAGTATCAGACGGAAAATGTTTTTTGCGTCGTACTTAAAGCTTGAACGATGAAAAAACCGAAAGTTGTGATGATTTATGTTTAGGTCATGTTCCTCGTCGTACCTACGTCTGTATCAACGATATGTTTCCAGGTTTTGTAGCGTCCTTCAACGCGTCCACCGCCTGCGGGCAGACGCTAAGCGAAAAATTTTTTAAACATTCAATTCTCTTTTCAGACCGTGGACGTTAATATATGAGGAATAAGCTTTTTTACTCTGTTGTGATGAACGCAGAGGAATTCATGCGATATATTTAAAACTATTGAGCTTGATCGTCAAGTAGCAGACATTCAGTACATTCTCCGGCCCTTATTGAAGCGCATTTATCAGTTGATGCAATGCAGATGAGGACAGGCGCAACGATTTCTTCGATTGTATATTTAAGACAGTTTTCACCCTTAGTGTGCCTCTAGTGTTTGTTTAGGTTGTTCATTCTTTTTTTATTGACTGTTTGGTTGTAACAAACTGGAGCAAGCCGTTGGTCTTTCTTTCCGTCTCTCTTATGGAGGTTGTAACCTCCAGTCCTCCTGAGATTCTCCTCTGCAGCACATCGTTATGTTTACTGTGGTTCCGTCTCTTTGTGTTCATCGTAGACACCTTGTTAGGTTTTCAAGTTTTTGGGAAAGTCGCGCTATTCCGTTTCGTTGGTGTTTTGATCGTTCGAGTGAACGGCATTGTGACCATCTTGATGATGCCCAGTCTTTTTGCTTTGCACATGCTACGTTCAGTGCCGTCCGTCCGATAAAATGGGTGTTAGCTTTGTGCCAATACTTTCAGCAGTACGGCTTGCCTTACAATTCACGTGTCTTCATCCAGTCTTATGCACTGTCAGGAAAGGTTCGCTTTCATGCTGTTCCTGCTCCTGTCTCTCACTTCCTCGACCGTCATCTGGAGCAGTTCATCGTATCGTTTTTCGTGATCCATTTTCAATGACTTCATCGTTGAGAGCTAGCAACAACCACAGCATGGAGTCTTATTGCAGGGTGAAGTAACGTGCGCTGGAAAATGCAGAACCCACGCTGTAGCCGTGGAAGTCTCGCAGGAACCCCGAAGCTTGACCGGCTTTCGCGAGCGTTTACGTCTTTAAGACAGTAGTCCTACAGTAGTACCTAGTGATATCATATCTTTATTATGCCGTCTTGTCGCTGAATGGAAGAGAATTACTCATAGACAGGGTCGAAAGAAAATCCATACAATGCTTAATGGATAACGTCAGGAAATGATGAGAGCTGAGAGCATTATTGTTAGGTGATCAGAATCTGGAAGTTAAGGCGCAAAGACTTTACTGTCGAGCCTTGTCATCGCATCGCCTCCCTCCATAGAAAAATAATATAGTGATGCTTGTCACGGCCGCGAAAGTCGCCAAATGCGTGCAGATAATCGAAACTGGTTGCATGATCATCGATTATGTTATCATCATCATCATCAAATACTTGTTGACCACGTCGCCGTCATGGGAAGAGTCGGTCGTCGCACCTGTGACGGTGACACTTCGTCCTTGACGCACACGTGGAGTTGATATCTGACAGAAGACTGGTAGACTAGTCGCTAATGCTCTTGCTCCCTTCGGAAAAGGTAGCGCCAGCAGTGCTTTCTGCATGCGCAGAATGCTGCTGTTCTGCTGATCACCACAAAGAAAGCGAGAGGCAACGAGCTGCACAGCCGAACTTATTGTTTACAAAATTTTCGGAATCCGGACAGTTACGAAACAAAGAAAAAAGATCTTGT